AATCTGTCCTCTGTCCCTCTCGGAGCCGGTTAATAACTGGTCACTCAGAAGTCTGTGTGCAGCTTAAAGTATCCAAATACATGCCCAACATTGGAAAACTCAGCAAGGAAAAGCAAGGGCAAGGGTCACACTAAACTGATAAGATCTGCATTTTAATTTAATTTTAATTGAAGCTTATTAAACATTTTAAAAAATTTATTTACTTTACATACAACAATAGTTTAGTTATATATTATAGACTTATAGAAAGAGACCTTCTAAAAACATTAAAATGTATTACTGGCGCCCTGCTGTGTAGTGATACTCACCGTTTTCTCTATTTTTCTTAGCAGGTTTGAAAACACTAAAGCAAGACTGTCTACCACAGGGCATTGGTATCCACTATTGGATTGATATCAACCTCTTCAACCATTCTCCTTTCTGTGTCTCAACTAAAATTAATATCAGCAATAATAAGTGAAGGATTATAATTATTACCAGCCACTTCCCCGCTCAATCATCAGACCCAGCAAGGAAGATATATATTGACAAAGAATAACTGGAAAATGTAGAACATTTTGTTTCTCTTGGCAGCAATCTCTCATAGAGAGCAGACATAAATGTCGCCTTTCAGCCCAGTATTCGCTGCGCCAGGCTTGCCTTTGGCAGACTGTCTCATCAGGTGTTCAACAATCAGGTCGGTGCAGTGAGATCTGTATAAATGGGGTGTCCAAAGCAATAGGAGGAGCCTACTAAGGAGACAGACTGAATTAAATGTCCCCTTCTCTTATGTGTTGTCGTAGACCCAATCATAAAGGGCTAAAGAACATGAACGTGTCAGTCACTCTCGATGCCTTTTATTTCAGATTAATGGGAGCAGATAGATTTATTTTTAATGGAAAATGAGAACAAATCTACATCCTATACTAGCTTTTAAACAATTTTCCTGTGAGATAAATCCAATAAAATATCAGCAGATAGACTGTGAATGCAACAGGGAAAGAAAGGATCAAAGGGAAAGAAAAATCCAAGGGATGGTATATGAGCCTTTGCAGTGAACTTTTCAGACCCTTACACCCTGAATTCCTCCCTATATTAATTTGAAACCATCCTATCGCTGTAATAAAGAGGTAGAAGTAGAAATAAATTAGCAGGGATTCAACATGGGAAAATACCGTATATCCCAAGATGTCAGCACGAGCTGTTTAGAGATGATTAGTGTCAAGTCCAATGTGCGGAGGGCAGCAAATTGGTATGACATGTCCACAATTACAAGAAGTGCTAGGAGAAAAATCCGTGAGTCTCTGAGAGTGGACGAGACATGTTCTGGAATGCCCACTGCAGGATCCCATCAAAGGAGCTCTGGAAGACAAAAAGGAGGCAACAAAGGGGTAGGGTGTATTTAGGGTGTCTCAGGAAAGCAAAGGAATGGCTTCTTGAGGGCAATCAGAAAGTTTTCTCCAAGTGAGAAATTAGGAGAACTGATTGATCTGGCTATATGAGGCACTTGCGAGGGTCTGCCTTTGCTTTCTGTCCCCCGCTTTAAGGGGCAACAATTTCAAACAAAGTATACAAAAATAAACCTGCTTTAGGACTTATCAAACTTGTAAATGGACCTGTTCAGACCTGCCTCAACCTGTACCCTAGCTCTCCAGGAGCCGTAATCTATATCTTTTCACAGCAGGGGTTTCTGATGGCGCAGCAAGGCTTACAGGGAATACCCATTGACAAAGGATTGCCCATTCAGTACAGCCACCCACAGCACTCTTGAAAATGTTTCAGTGTTTCTGCAGTTGGACCCAGCTGCCTTTAGGCCTGTATTGGGTGGGGAGCCTTTGCAAACAGGTGAGCTGACTACTTGTGAATTCCAGGACCTGTAGGAACTGCTCTGTTCAGATTGTAGACTATTTTCTTGCATAAAATAAAGTCGGAGAGATGAGAAGGTGAAATGGTTTGTTACCTCACCCAGGAGAGAGTCCAGCTCCTCCTTATTCAGGATCGGATCATTCCCAGCAGAGTCTTCCACTGCCTGGAAACCAGAACATGGCCAAAATGCTCAGTTTCACAACATGATGTTGAAATGTTAAACATAATGGATCTATGTCTCTATTCTGTGGTAGGAATGGCCAGACTGTGGCTTTAGCTCTTTTACAGGTGAAGTGTGGTTTGCAGAGCCTCTTAGCTCATTTTCTGCCTACCAGACTGAGCAGGGGTGGGGGGAGGGAAGGGGAGCACAGGGCTTCTGCCCTATGGCAGGGAAGTGAGACAAGGAGTTTCTGTTATGCAGAGAGGGAGGGCTAAGGGCCAGGCTGTGTAGCTTTTGGCTCTCAAACGTCTGAAGATTATTGTATGTGGGTTGGAGGGTCAGTAAACGTAGCCATTCCTGGATTATGCTTTCATTACTTGGATTAGCATGGTGGTCCCTTCTGGTCCTGAATGACTGAGGTTCTTGGAGTGAATATTGGCAAGGCGACTAGCTGTGTCTTTTCTGCAAGCAACTGAAGTGGTTAGTAAGTGTGGCAGTATCTCTGAAGTGATATACTGCAATATGTCTGGTAAACTTCTGAAAAGGACTTTTAAAACTTTGATCTCAGTTCTATACCCGGCTGTACAGGGGATTCCCTTAACCACATGCACTTGGAACTGTGTACTAAGTTCACCGGAACGCTGAATGTTCTTACTCTTATGTTGTACTGTATTCCTAGGCATGTGTACGGTGCTTTAGAGAAGACATGGCTCAGCTAGAAAGGCTGGCCTTGTGGTTAAACCACATGACTTACAGTCATGTGATCTGTTTCAGAGTAACAGCCGTGTTAGTCTGTATTCGCAAAAAGAAAAGGAGTACTTGTGGCACCTTAGAGACTAACCAATTTATTTGAGCATGAGCTTTCGTGAGCTACAGCTCACTTCATCAGATGCATACCGTGGAAACTGTAGCAGACTTTATATATACACAGAGAATATGAAACAATACCTCCTCCCACCCCACTGTCCTGCTGGTAATAGCTTATCTAAAGTGATCATCAGGTGGGCCATTTCCAGCACAAATCCAGGTTTTCTCACCCTCCACCCCCCCCCACACAAATTCACTCTCCTGCTGGTGCTAGCCCATCCAAAGTGACAACTCTTTACATAATCAAGTCGGGCTATTTCCTGCACAAATCCAGGTTTTCTCACATCCCCCCCCACCCCCATACACACACAAACTCACTCTCCTGTGATCTGGATTCTGTTCCCCCACTGATCCAGGTAAAGCACAACTTCTCTCAGCCTTCATTTCATCATCTGTAAAAAAAATCTGGAGCTTTCCTCCCTCACATGAGTACTATATCTATGTTTGTAAAGTGCTTTGAGAGTCTTCAATGGAAGATGATGCAGAAAGGCAAAGCATCTGCTGGAAGAAGTTGCTCCCACTGAAACGCACTTTCCTAAATAGCCCAAAAAAGACATCTAGGACTTCCGCACGCACTGCAAAAAAGTCTCTGACTGTACTGACCTTCACTGCTCTTACTCCAGGGCTATTGGAACTCACTGTTCCCTCCAGGCCACTGGTTCCAGAGCTGCTAGAGCAGGACTTGCATAGCAAGGTTTCACTGGAACAGAAGATAAAGATTATGGATCCTAGTCAAACCATCACCCTGCAGATTGGAAAAATCAAGGAGCGTCTTTGTATGTGTTGCTATTGCGGATCAGAAAAGGTAAGTGTGGGAGAGAACTATGAAGGATTTAAGACAATATAGAGAATTTCAGTGCAATCTTTGACAGCAAGCCAGTTGCCTTCAGCTTCTAAAGACTGGTCCAACCCCATAGTGGAACACTCTGAATGTGCATGGGGGTTGGAACATAGAACATGTGTGCAAAGTACCAGAGTACTGGGGAGCAACCAGAGATGTGAATCAAATGTATTTTTGATCTTAAGAAACTGAAGAACAGCAGTGTCCAGCAAATATAACATAAATAATAGACCAAGAACCTGTATCTGGATTAAATCAGGTACAGCCGGGTGGGAGATGGTAATGCCTTTGCACTCGTGAGCCTCACCTGAGCCGCTCTGCTTGGGTAGGGAAGTGGCAGTGGGAGTGGAAGGCCTTGAAGCACTGGGCACAGTAGCTCATGTTTCCTCCTCCCCTGCAGACTCCACATTTCTCACCAACTGTCAGTTTCTGTGTAAAGAAAAGGTGGAGAATTTGGATTTTATTTTCAGCCCCACTGTGACCTTCTAAACCTTGGGGAGCATCCTGTAACCCACATATTCTTAATTTTTATGTAATTGTGATCTTACATATAACGCATGCCTTGTCAGGTATCAGGCTATGATATTCTGAAAATGATTTCTCTAGCTATATATGTATATCATTAATGCATATGAAGTTATGCCAATTGTGTTGTATGGGTGTCACTAAAACATGCTGTAAATTAGGGAATTAGCTCCCCAGAGGTAACAGCAAGGAAAATAACCAACATCCGGGCGGGGTTTAAAAAAATCCAACAACCATTGTCCAGCAATAGAACTACAATTCAATGATTCAGCTGCATGAGGCCACTCCAGGGGAATTGCTCAACTTTGCCAGGACATTCAGCAATGCCCCCAGACATGCCTGGACTTGTGGTTTCCAAGCACATGGACTGAGAGTATAAAACAGACAGAGTGGACACATACTGGGCCCTTCTGTCCCCACCCATTCTGCAAACAACTAAGATACTTCTTACAGACTCTAACAGAGGGGATTGGCCCAGCTTTTAAAACTGACATATGTATATTAAGGACTGCAATATCCAGTGGGATGATAAAAACTGTTTGATATAGTTGTTTCCCAGTCTAATAGGGTTGAGAGTTTAGTCTGCATGGTTATATTTTATTTCCTTTGGTAACTAAGTCTGATTTTTTATCTATCACTTATAATCACGTAAAATATCTTTTGTAAGCAATAAACTTCTTTAACAGTTTATCTTTATCAGTGAGTTTGTTTCAAGTGTGTGGCAAATCTGCTCAGGTTTGACAAAGGCTGGTGTATGGACACGTTCCATTGTTGAAGTGGTGAATTCCTGACATACAGTGCTGAGAGCAACCAGAACTGGAAACAGCATTTAATGTGGCATAACATGGATTTCTATAGTGGCATTATGGTATTTTCTGTCTTATTTTCTATCCTTTCCTGGTATTTCCTAGCACTCTGTTCACCTTTTTGACTGCTGATGTGCATTGAGCTGAACTTTTTGGAGAACTATGAACAATGAATCTAAGATCTTTCTTGAGTAATAACAGCTAATTTAGAGCCCATCATTTTGTGTAGTTAGGATTATTTTTTCCAATATACATTACTTTGCATTTATCAGTGTTGAATTTCATCTGCCATTTTGTTGCCCAGTCACCAGTTTTGTGAGATACATTTGTAACTTTTTTCAGGCAGTTTTGGATTTATTTTACATAATTTTAAATCACCTGCAAACTTTGCCAGCTCACTGCTCATCCCTTTTTCCAGCTCATTAATGAATATGTTGACCAGCACAGGTCCCAGGACAGTTCATAGGGGACCCCACTGTTTACCTATCTCCATTTGTGAAAACTGATAATTTATTCCTATCCTTTGCTTCCTATCTTTTAATCAGTTACTGACTGAAAAGATGACCTTCTCTCTTATCCCATGATCACTTAGCTTCCTTGAGAGCTCTTGGTGAGGGACCTTGCAAAAGGCTTTCTGAAAAATCCCAAGTACACTGTGTTCATTGGATCACCCTCCTCCATGTGTTGTTGACACCCTCAAAGAATTTGTTCCTTCTGAGGGAAGCGAACCATCCCAACAGAGTGGGCAAAAATTCTGAGCAAAAGCTTGCCCACCATTTGTTGTGTAGATACAAGCAGCACAGGAAGGAGGCTGTAAGGGGTTCATATGTCACATTACATACAAGGCAGGATAATCCCAACAGCACCTGAAACTTAATCCTCTCATTTTGCCCAATTTCCATCTAGGGCACAGGAGAAGAGCGGCGTGCAGATAACGATAGGGAAGTGGTTGGACATGGCTGTTTGGTGAAGCAAGGCTCCTAGCTATACCTGTGTCTCGCATGGTGGCTCTTCTGTGCGCTGGTCCTGCTTCACTTTCCCAGCTGAGCAAGAGATGCACCTCCATGTCCCGCTGCTCAAAGTCAGATGATAAAGAAATAGGTATGCAAATGTTTAAGGGGAACAAGAGAAATGAGAAAGCAAAGCCAACCTGCATTTACCACAATGGTACTTTGACGTCTCATTGGTCACAGTTGAGTAAAGCAACAGTGCTGGCTAGTGGCCAGTTCTGTGATCAGCAATTAATTACAATGAAGCTATGCTGATTTACAACCGCTAAGGACCTGGCCCAGCATGTAGGCCCCAAGTGTATTCAAGGTCCTTGCCTCTGTAGAAAGAGGAAAGCCTTCTTATATTTAGGACAAGTTTTTGGTTTTTATTATAAATCTGGTTAAGAAAATAAGGCAAAATAATGCAAAATTATTTCAGCATTTTTTTAGCCCAACACTGATCACTTTGAAAACCCTGCATCTTCCCCCCCCCCGACCCTCCCCCAGACCAGAGGGACCTGATGGGGTGATAGAGCAGTAAATACTCGCTGTGGGGAGTGTGCCTAGGAATGCTTTTTATTACCTTGGAATTTCTGTCATTGGGGGCACGAGGCAGGCCAGGTGGAAAGCTTTGGGGCAGCCGTCACAGCAGATCAGCTCCCCACCATCCCTGCACACTGCACATTCATCATCGTTCTTCTGACCCAGGGAGGCAAATAGCGCATGATGTAACAGAAAACAAAAGCACAGAGATTCAAAGCAACTTCTCCCTCACTACAGCTATGGTTATCTGTTCACTCGCTCATTGCAATTCAGTATACTGCAGGATAAACTGGACTTGGTCTGTTATAAAGGGTCATGTTCTAGCACAGGTGACCAATTGGTGAATCCTTGCTATCAGATGTCACAACAAAACATTAGTTTTGGAGCAAAACATTAGTATCATGGACTTCAGAGAATACCTCTCTCTTCTCCCTACAGGATGACAAAACAGAATACAGAGCTGAGCACCAAGAGAGGTGAACGCTTAGGGGACAACATGTGTTTCAGCTGGCTGGCAGCTGTGGCATTATAACACAAGTGTGCCTGACTTCTGTGGCCAGGTACTGTCTATGGTATTTCGGCGACATTACACCTGGCAGGTGCTTCCTTGCTGGGGATCTGGCAAGGAATTAAAATAGTGAATGCTTCATCCTTAATTCCAAACTCCAGAATCCCACAAATTCAACAGACACTTGTCTCCATGGGTTATATACAACATATCTGACAGCCTGCAGGGAAGCTCTGAACGTCTGAAAACCTTTCCCCATTGAACACTTTCAACATGCAGGTATAGTGCCCATACACAAACTGCTAGTTAAGCAGGGAGCTCTTGGGCTGGGCAGTGGATGGAAATGGTGGCTGTTTCACTTTGGAATCTTCTGGGGAATTCCAGTTTGCCAGGGGCAGGGGGCTTTTCAAGAGCAAATGTTTGTCCTAACCAAGCCCTTTTGTCTCCTCCTCTCTAGTAGCAAGACTACCAGACTGAGGAAACCGGACACTTCCAGGAGTTATGCACTAATTCTATGCAGCATCCTGGGGCTCAGAAGGAGAATCTCACTCTCACTGAGACAAGGTGGTGCCGCAAAGAGGCACACTGCTATCCACCACAAGAGAATCAATAAAAACAGGGTGTGGGCCCTGCACAACATTTGGAAAATTGTCCCTGGAGGAGAAGGGAATGACACTGGAGAGAAACGCTTTGCCTGCTCCTGGCAGAGATGAAGAGAAGCTCAGCTCCTCAGTAGAGTTTTTACCTGGTAGAGGGTTTGATCCACGGTGTGAACAGGGGTGACATGGAGGCTGCTCTGTGAGTTTATTTTCAGCTCCCCATTCTGCAGAGTGAGATGGACAGGGGTGAGGCAGAAAATGCTACTGTGATCAGACTGGCGTTATAGATATAGATGCATGTCCTGACTCAGAAGGATGCTAAGTCTAGACTCCTGCAGTGGAGTCTGACTTGTGCCGACTGGCTGGAGTCGCTGTGGTGCTGAGGGAAGGACACTGCTCTGAGAGCGCTTTAGGCCGAGCTGGTTCAGAGAGTAGGGAAAGGTTAGCAACCCTCTCACATCTTTCACATACAGCACGAAGTCTGCCCGACCTGCCCAGGGCCAAGTCAAGCACAAACTTGCTCGATAGTTTATGAAGAAAAAGGACAAGGCTGAGCTGAGCTGTATGGGTGGAACCAGTGCAGAGTGTGAAACACCTTACTGCAAAGGGGACTCAAACAGGACAAAGAGGTAAAAAAAACTTGTATGTGCTGAAAGCATACGTATTGGGGCCCTTGAAATCCCTTGGCTCGCACACCAGGCTTCAGGCTTCGGCTTTTGTTCTTTCCCCCAGGTTCCTCAAACTTGCTTGGTGTATAAAACTCGCCTCCAACTTTGACACATTTCTTGGAGCCCCCTGGAAGAGAGGACACCCTGGCTTATGTCAGTTGTGTGCTAGGAGCAGACACACACGCTGCTCGAAAAATGCTCGGGTTCAGGGGAAGGTTTCATTGTTAACGTGGTAATGATGCTGGAGTTCAAGCAGATCAGGTGTAAAAAAGCATTACGTTTTAGAAATGTTTGAAAACCATCTTCTCTGTTTCACTCTCAAGGGCCCAGTACATGAGTCAGCACTTCCTCTGAAGCAGCTGATGACACCATGGGCCCCAGAAAATGTGGCAGGCAGGAGTTCAGGTCCCTGTTTAGCTGCTAGTGATGAAATGGACTCTTACCAGGGAACTTAATCCTGAGCCCAAGGCTTGGCAAGTAAATGAAGGATCTGACCTACATGGGCTTTGTCAAGAATCATCCACACTGGATGCTGAGGTTTCAAGGGCCAAATCCTAGGTTAGGGCAGAGAGCCAGTAGCAGGTAGCCACGGACCCTGCCAGGTGTAGCCTGTTTGTGAGAATCATGGGGCAAAACACCACCTGTCCAGCTGGCCCAGCAAGGTGGAGTGCTGGCTCCTGCTGCCACTTGCTACTTCATATTGCTGCAAAAATAACTCTTGTGCACCATGGCAGGATGCTACCTACATGCCCACATCACAACTACAAATTACAGCTCCATCCTCCTGATGCAGGCAGGGGGTAGCCAGAAGGCTGTGTTTGTTTATATTCTGCCAGTGACTTTTAAAAAATTAAAGACCATCTATACTAGGAGGACAGGGTCTCCCAGTCCAGACTTACAGTACCACTATACTTTCCACCTGAACCGGACTCCCTTGGGGGGTTTCTCCATCCCCCAATATCCCAGCTCCTCCCCAGATGCTGACCCTATCCATGTCTCTGTTCTTCTTCTCACAGTCATCCACAATTTCCACCAGTGTATGCTACTTCCAGCGCCCTCTGGCTGGTCTGAGCTGCTAACCCCTCCCCCACACTGGTCCCAACATCCACTCTATTAGCCCCTCTGCAAGCCTCTACTGAAATCTTGCCCTACCTATAATTGCCTGGGTGGCTTCTAGCTTCACGAAGGAGGGTCCTGTCACTCTGATTAACCTGAACTAAATCTGTTCACTGGAACCAGGCAGTCCTCAGGAAAGGGAAAATCCTGGAATAGAGTTGGCCCACATTGTTGTCATGAGCACTGTTCTTTAACTCCCTAGATATTCAGCTGTGTATCTTATTATAGGCACGACCAGCCCCAAGTTCATGATTTTCTGGCCCCAGAACATTGGCATATCTACCTGACTCAAACACCTGTTTGATGAGAATTCCTTCTACAGCCCCGCAGCTCACTGGTAGTTCACTGGATGACACAGTGACAGCCCTCTGGACTGAGGCAGCCATACTCTGAATGCCTATAGTTTTAAAAACAGTCATCATCAATGAAACACAAAGCCTTTGTGCATATATTCTTCCAAGGAACAGGGGAGGGCTATTGTTTGAAGTATGTTAAAAACTGGCAAGGCATTAAATACAACCTGATGACTCCCAATCAGGGGATCCCCCAACCCCGATTGCATCTCCCTGCAAGGCCTGGCCCAATCTCTGCTAGATCACAAGCCCCTGGCTGGCCATTTGATGTGGTCCCATGCCTGGCTGGGCAGTAGAATGCAGACCTCTCTTCCCACCTGCTGCGATCAGCATCTGGGGAGGTGGGCTTAAATAGGGATTTGATTTCAAATGAAAGGAGATTGGTGGGCTCAGTCTAGTCCCAGTAAATCATTGGTCATATCACAAAACCAGCACACATTACAGGGCATGAGTGAAAGTCTCTGCACACCGGCCAAGCCCTGCTTTGAAGCAAGATGTGCTCAAGGTGTGTTGACAGAGCTGTGTAAGGAAAGTCATGCAGTTCATGGGTTTGCTGGGTTTTTTTAATCCATTGCTACTAGTCCTTTAGTTTCACAAACACTAAGAATCCTCCATTCACCCACTAATCCTCCCCATCTCCTTATACAAGCATGCTACCACCTAACCCTTTGAGGTGCCTGTGTGGTGCTGCACTTGTCACCTGGTTCTGGGAGCTGCTGCTTCTCTGAGACATTTTACTTAACCTAATGTTGTGTATGGGAGACGCCAACCCACTAGCACTCTCAGGGTCCATGGCTCTGCGGGGTGTTGGATTCTTTTCCCATTCTGAAAGAGGCCCAGTGACACCCAGCTCAGGAGCGGTTTTAGCTTGTTCATTGCTGGATGGTGCTAACAACAAAGATTTTTCCAAACTGGGCTGCAGAAATGAGCGGAAAACTCACTGATGGGGTATGACACATCACTCACCATTTCCCAGAGGGAAACGCTGGATCTCCACACCTTCTGGTTTCTTTACAGCTTTTGTCTTTGGCAGAGTCCCTGTGTGGTTATAACATGGGTTAGAGACAAGGATACACATTGGATATTATTAGAAAGAGCCCTTGATTCCTCTCCTGGTGAGACAATGGAAACCTTACAAGAAATTGGAACAGTAGGCAGGGATGGTGAATGCTCCAACGTGAGCAGCCAGATCTAGCTATTTAGGTACTTAGATTGCACCTGCTTGGGTGTAAGAGAAACTATATCAGCAGTAAGAACTCCTAATTGAAAATGGTTACATTCCTTCTTGCACATGCAGCACACCTCTTGGCACAATGGGCAGCTTTCAAAACTCATCCGAACTCCAAAGACCATGAATAAATGATTGCATCTCCCTGCGATGTATATTATGGATTTATATTAACTTTCAAGAGATTCGTAGATTCCAAGGCCAGAAGGGACCATGGTGATCATCCAATCTGACCCCCTGTATAGCACAGGCCAGAGACCTGCTCCCAAATAAGTCTGAGAACTGAGCTTTTAGAAAAAGTCCAATGTGACTTTTCTTACATTTTCTCCAACTCTTTATTCTTTTTCCTCTTCTTCTGTCTATCACATTTCTCTCCTTTCAGCTCTTTTCCCCTCCTCTATCTCCATTCTTAAAATTCTCATTCTTCATTCTTTTCTCCTCTCTTCTTCCTCTCCTTCCATCTCTTCTTCCAGTCACCCTGGTTCTCCTCCATTCTTTCCATTTCCTTCTTCATTTCTACATTCTCCAGCTCATCCTTCCCTACTCCTCCTGCCCCCCCTGACAACTGGCATCTCCCTACAAGGCTCAGCCAAATTTCTGCCTGATCACAAGCCCCTGGGACTTTGATCTGCTCTCTTGCCTGGCTGGGCAGCAGAATACACACCTCTCTTCCCCACTCCATTTAGATAGCTCTGGAGGGGATGGGGAGCTACCTGAGGCCTACAAGAAGCCAGGATAGCAGCTGTTGGACCCAAATGGGAAGAGCTGCTTCAAAGTCCAAAATAGGACAGCTGCTCTTCATTGCCTCTAGCGCCTGGGGGAATTGTGAGCGTAAGAAGGGCCTAGTGAGCTATCTGCTTGATGGGTTTGGGAGGCTGTGCACCAGCATGGCTCAGGATCCAGCATGAGCCAGGCAGTGAAAGAGGCTCTGTACCAGGGTTCGAGTTGCATTTCAGCAAGGGCTGAGCTGGCTGGGGAGAGTCGCTTTCCTCTGGTGCTTTCCTCTTTGGCTGCTGTTTCTGCTGCACCAAGGTCTTCGGACTGGGGGGTGGTTTCCTCCCCCGGCGCTGTCTGCTGAGATCCACATCTGGAAAGAATGAAAGCAGAGAGATTGGCATCAGGGGTGGGGACACTCCAAACTGCCCAGTGCTTTGCTGGGGCTCTAGATTTCTTTAGGTCCCCAGTGATCTGGTCTGTACCCCTTGGTGCTGATCGTTACTGAGACAACCACTGCTTGCTTCTCCCCTCCCCTCCCACTTCATTCCTGGTCTGATGGCTGCCATTTTGCACCTCTCCTGGGGCTGGAGTTGGAGTATGAGAGGCTAAGCTCTTGGTTCCTAAAAAGGAGCAGGATGTGCTCTCTGAGGAAACCCCATGGAGCAGAGGCCTGCTAGGTAGGGAGTCGTTCTCTTCACAGTCCATCTGAGCACCCTCCTACCTTTGGGAAAGCTGCTCTGAATATGCTGGAGCTTGGCGTATCTCTCCAGGTTGTAATCCTTGAAGAGGACCCTCCAGAAGTCCTGTATGGTGGATGAATCCTGGCTCAGTAGCCAGGTTAGCATGGCATGGAAGGCCTTGTGAGAACCCTCCTGCTCCTTCAAACTCAGTGTTTCCTTCAAGAAAAAAAAAGAGCAGTGTAATCAAATGTGCAGTTCTTAAGGGCATCCCTCATGTTCCCATGCCTCCCCTCCCCCTCCACCCTAGCTGTGCTGCACCCATGCTGTGTAATGCAGGCTATGAGCAAAGAGGGAGCCATGGTTACAGCACCTAGCACCCCCTCCCCTGGTGGTGCCTGGGTGTGCATGAATGGATGCTTCATTCATCCATTAAAGGAAAGCAAAAAGATCACATTCAACGGGAAGCTGGGGTAGGCTGTGTTGGGTTATGGGGGGAGTGAGACCCTAGGACGGAGCTGACTGAGTGAGGCTGAAACCATGTTTGAGAAATAGCATGAGATTTGAAATTGTAGTGCCTAGAGCTGACGACATAGTCACATTATCACTGTAGCATGGGGGGGGGAGGAGGGGGGAGTCATGAAAACAGCAGAGGAAGGGCAGAAAGAAGCCAGGAGGCCATTGTAAATAGAAAAGCAAAGGGCTTTAATTGAAGATACCTTAAAAAGTACATTAAGTTGATTTACAAAGTTCCATTAACAACCTTCATATAAAATAGCCACTGCTTCCTAAAAATTGCTGTTAAGGGCCAAAGTGCATCTGACCTGCAATTTGACGAGCACTACAGTCTAATAACCGAGACTGAGCCTCTAGCACCGGAGGTCAGCTTTATAATTACTTGGCTCCACTCCTTTTGGTTTCATTCAATCAGCTCCCACTTCCTCCTCATGCTGTTCCCCCTTTTATTTGTGTGTTCCCACCATGAAAACACTTTTCACCCTATCTGTTCCAGCCAAGAGGACATTGGGGCCCCCACCAAGAAAACACCAAAAATCAAACAGTTCAGAATGACAACAAACACACTGAGTATTCAACGTTCTGCTCCTTGCGAGGAGCTGCCATGCTGACTTCCTTGCAGTATTACATTCCAGACAGAAGGGGGTGCTGTGTAAGAATAAAAATAGCAGTATTTAAAAGCCCCACCTAATGACTCAAATGGAGTCCAGCAGCCACCTGCAGGAATTGAGGCCTCTGCTGATTCAAGAGAAAACTCCTGAAAACACTGCCCCCAAGTAAGACACAGCAGTTTTCACCCTCTGGGGAGGGCAGCTGAAAAAGGAAGAGGTCAGCTCTGCAGCATGTATCCTGCAGTTGTTTCTCCTTCCCTATTTTAACCTTGAGCATTATATATAACTCACCAGGCAGTTTTACTACAACTATATTTCAAATGTCTCTATCCACACTATCTGCACTAGCTTGTGCCAGTACGATCATCCTTGCTGATGAGACTCCCAGCTAGCTGAAGTGGGGGAGGGAATCAGAGCGTCAGATACAGATCAAGGAAATACACCTGGTCCCTCAATGGAATATTTCCAGTTTTTCCAATTCCTTTTCAAGAGTATAAATCTGGAGCTCCAGTCAAGCTTTTCAGAAGTGCCCAGTGGTTTGGGGTGCTCAGCTTGACAACTGACTTTCAGATCATAGAATCATAGAATATAAGGGTTGGAAGGGACCCCAGAAGGTCATCTAGTCCAACCCCCTGCTCGAAGCAGGACCAAATCCCAGTTAAATTATCCCAGCCAGGGCTTTGTCAAGCCTGACCTTAAAAACCTCTAAGGAAGGAGATTCTACCACCTCCCTAGGTAACGCATTCCAGTGTTTCACCACCCTCTTAGTGAAAATGTTTTTCCTAATATCCAGTCTAAACCTCCCCCACTGCAACTTGAGACCATTACTCCTCGTTCTGTCATCTGCTACCATTGAGAACAGTCTAGAGCCATCCTCTTTGGAACCCCCTTTCAGGTAGTTGAAAGCAGCTATCAAGTCCCCCCTCATTCTTCTCTTCTGCAGGCTAAACAATCCCAGCTCCCTCAGCCTCTCCTCATAACTCATGTGTTCCAGACCCCTAATCATTTTTGTTGCCCTTCACTGGACTCTCTCCAATTTATCCACATCCTTCTTGAAGTGTGGGGCCCAAAACTGGACACAGTACTCCAGATGAGGCCTCACCAATGTCGAATAGAGGGGAACGATCACGTCCCTCGATCTGCTCGCTATGCCCCTACTTATACATCCCAAAATGCCATTGGCCTTCTTGGCAACAAGGGCACACTGCTGACTCATATCCAGCTTCTCGTCCACTGTCACCCCTAGGTCCTTTTCCGCAGAACTGCTGCCTAGCCATTCGGTCCCTAGTCTGTAGCTGTGCATTGGGTTCTTCCGTCCTAAGTGCAGGACCCTGCACTTATCCTTATTGAACCTCATCAGATTTCTTTTGGCCCAATCCTCCAATTTGTCTAGGTCCTTCTGTATCCTATCCCTCCCCTCCAGCGTATCTATCACTCCTCCCAGTTTAGTATCATCCGCAAATTTGCTGAGAGTGCAATCCACACCATCCTCCAGATCATTTATGAAGATATTGAACAAAACCGGCCCCAGGACCGACCCTTGGGGCACTCCACTTGATACCGGCTGCCAACTAGACAATGAGCCATTGATAACTACCCGTTGAGCCCGACAATCTAGCCAGCTTTCTACCCACCTTATAGTGCATTCATCCAGCCCATACTTCCTTAACTTGCTGACAAGAATACTGTGGGAGACCGTGTCAAAAGCTTTGCTAAAGTCAAGAAACAATACATCCACTGCTTTCCCTTCATCCAGATGGTGGGTACTCAGCACTTTCTGAAACTTCTGCCCTTTTGAGGTGACTCTCATTGGGCACCCATAATCACTAGTTACTTGAAAATCTTGGTCTATATGCATGCACATGTATATGTACATGTGCACATACAGAGCAGTGCACAATCATTGCCCAGTCCCGAAGGAATGTAGTCATAACCCCAGTAATTCCCAAAGTGAGCTTAAAATATGACACTTTCCTCCCCCCACTGAGACACTGACAATCCCTTTTACAGTTCCTCACACCTCTGAGAGCCCTTCTTCCAGATTTACAGGTATCCACATTCAAACTACTTCTAGGGTTATAATCCTCACTAGAGCAGGTCACTTAGCATGGCATGCCCGTGTTCTTCTCACCTTGAACATCTCCTCTGTGACAACGTCATGATCAGCAAGTCCATGAAGCAATGGGAAAACGTCATCCACTGCCATGGAGATCTCCGTGCGGTATAGCTTCAGCAGCTGCCGCAGGTCCCCTTCTCCCAAGGGCCTGTCAGCGCTGGACATCCTGTAATGAATCCGTATTTGTGGGGATTTCAGCTGGAGCAGGAGGATCTCCCCTACAGATCAACACCGCTGGGAGAGACTCGGACTGCAGTAACTGAGGCACCCGTGCTGCCTATGCTCTTACATCATTCCCTATGAAGCCTGGTTCTGGGAAAGGCAGGCACTGAAACAGGGAGAAGAATGTGCATCTTACTTAGGACAGGACTTGCTGCGTCAAGACAATTGCCAAAACTTCCCTTTTAATAGAAACCTAGGTGTCTTGTCACCAATAGCCAGCTCAGCTGTCAATCACTGGCTATTGAGCTGAACCCAGGAATCCCATTAAGTTCAGTTATTGCACTCACATTTGTATACCCATGTTAACGTCACTTTGCATGAATTTCTTCTCCTAGCGCTCCTCTCTGACTGTTCCTCACCTGTCCCTGGGCCAAGACACCACCAGACTGGATGTGCTATGCCTGAAGTGCTGACTCTTTGCCCACGCTGTTCAATAAGGCTGGGTGGTAGGTATTCTCCTCTGTGTGCATGTGTACACGAAGATACAGAAAGGGTGGGTGGTTGGTTGGTTGGTTGTACATCCACCAGCCACACTGAAATATGTTAGTTAGTAGCTAAGCTTGGTGTCTCTGAAATCCAGTCTTTTCCCTTTAGCATGCAACACTTCCTTGGGCTCTTTATACAGGTTAATCTGTGGAGGGAGGGGAAAAAATATTATTGAGGAACCAATTGGGTCCCAAAGATGAGCTTCTGAAGCTTGATTGGAGCTGGGAAGGCATCTCTAATTAAGCTCATTTACTCAGTTTGACTTTGAGAGTTTGTCATTATTTTTCCCCGCTCACTTCACTTAAACCCTGCAGATTATTTTAAATTTGTGAAAACAAAATTGCTTAGTTAATTTTAGCCAGATGTAAAACTACAGTAGGTGCACAGTCAGATCCGTAATGTTTGTATGAAATAGTGAATACGCATTTTGCAAACACTCTCTGGCATTTAGTGGCCACAGAAGATTCTCCAGTTGTCATAGGCCTTGTGTGCAGCTTGCTGTATGATTTACTATTTATGCCAAGTTTGGTTTTTTAACCAGTATAAAGTATGTAGGAATATTTTTGTTTATTCAGCCCCGGTCACATCTGATTTCGGAAGTGTTTAAGGTCTGGCTGCTGCTTATACCAGTTGTGTGGTTGTATTACAAAACAAAGACAGCTGGATGACACACATGTCAGCTTTTGAATAATTCTATTGATTTGATGGCAGTAAACTGTTTGGCAGTACCTGAAATTCTGACCTGCTCATATTGTCAGAATGACGAGGGTAGTTTCCTGCTCCTCTTAGGAACAGAACCTGCAAAACCTTAAATACATCCCTAACTTTCCAAGCAATTTGAAATCAATACTCATGGGGGTAAAGTTATGCACATGTGTGATTGCAGGATCAGGACCTTAATTTTGAAATTATTAGTTGATACACTTCTGTTGTTTCCACCCAACCTTCAGTTTTTGTTTTGTCAGTGAACCCTTCTAATAACGGATGCTCAAAACTTCAAATGCATTTGTGTTTCAGCCCATGAGCAGGATGAGTATGTGTTTTGAGGCTTGCCTCTTCCACAGTTGCTTGCTACACAAGCTGCACTCTAACTCTTTAGGTGAATATTCTTTCAACTTCTGTAATTGAAGTCTGTATCTTTTCTATGAGTAAAATGCTGAAAACTGCTGTCTCCTGCAGAGGGGAGCCCCACACCAGCTTGTGGTCGGGAGCCAGGCCAGCTTGGTATGGAGTGCAAAGAGACTACTAAGGATGTTGGCTGGGCTCCTCACCCATGGAGCAGCAGGGCATGGTTTGGCATTTACAATATGACAAGCACCAGTTTGCATAGGGGTTCTGTACAATAAGCAATATATTCACACTGAAAAATGAAACTTTTATATGCAACTGCTTCCTCAGGGATGCTGTATACTGTGGGAAACAAACTTTATACTCCACCACCTAGCAGGAAGGGATCCTTTATTTCAGAATAAATGGGAGATCACCTTCACCATGGTAAAGGTGGGCTTTTCAAAAGCCCTTGTGTAGATCTGTTCCATGTGTTTGGGTAACTATTAATGATGAATGCCTGGTGAAACTTGGAAGCTACAGAATCATTCAGATTTCCAAATGGAGTATCTCTGCTCTTACACCATTCAATGATCAGTACTACTTTCCCTATGAAGTATAATCTCTTCCCATAGTGTTCATTAGGGGGGAGGGATAGGTCAGTGGTTTGAGCATTGGCCTGCTGAACCCAGGCTTGTGAGTTCAATCCTTAAGGGGGCCATTTAGGGATCTGGGGCAAAAATTGGGGATTGGTCCTGCTTTGAGCAAGGGGTTGGACTAGATGACCTCCTGAAGTCCCTTCCAACTCTGATATTCTATGATTAGTGTCAGCTAATTGCTAGCTGTAGATAATTTTATTTCAATATTAACCTTGATGAAAGAAATTCAGAGATTGCTGTTTATGCAAGGCAAAAGTAACCCAACCCTCAATATATTGGAGTTACTCACAATACGTTTCTTTGTTCTTGTAACGAACTAAGACTCACCTCAGAATTTATGTACTTTCCAGGGCATCTGTTTTTTTTCATCCAGAAACTCTCCTATGTAATTGTATCACTAGTGATTTGTCTCTTAACACTTGCTCCTGTTCTCAGTGAAGTCATTGGAGTCTTGCCATTGACTTCAGTGATGGTTGGATCAGGCCTGTATTGCACACAGCATGTAGTGCTAGAAGATGATGGCAGAGAAATTCAGCTCTGAGTTGAAAATCTAAGCAGCCCATGTTGGCTGAAATAAACTGACATCACATGTAGAGACACAATCTAGGAAGAAAAAGAAAACTGTTGCTTACTTAGGGCTACAGATTATCACAGGGTTGTACTGTAATTCACTGTAAAGCACTGTAATTCAAGGCTGAATATAGTCACTTGTTTATGACCTCTCTTGCCCCTTTAACAGTTGAAATGTGTTTACTTACCAACATTTTTTGTTCTTCTCCCATCCCCAGCTCTTCCTTACACTTCCTTTATACTGTAAGGCTGGTCATTATGTGTGTGCTGAGTTGTTGGCCTCTTCTGAGGAGTAGAAAATATTGTAGGATGCAATTCAGTAACCTAAATTTATAAAGTAAATTGCCTTTTCACAAAGTTTGTAGGCGTACAACATGACCCTTTAGTCTCCCCACCTCATACCTGCTCCACAATCCCTCTGAGCCCTGTCCTTGGCTAAGGACTCAGAAGACTCCCACAAAGTTTCTGGGAACAAGCTAGGCCCAGCTCCAGTTCTCTGGTGAAGGGTTTCAGGAAAAGGTTGTAAATGTTTATGGCAGCTCTGCTGATGAGTGCAATATGACAGTGGTGCTACTGCACCACTAGAGTTAAGGCTGCATCCTGACTTCTGTTTAAAGATTGCCCATTCAAAGTCCTCTAACATTAACATTCAGTCAGATTCCTTTGCAAATCTGTGTTGCTCAGGAGAGTGCAGGGCTTAGGCTTCAGGCCCCAGATTTGGGGTCACTTGAGTTTCTAGGTGGTTTTTATTTGTGTGGAGCTAGAGATCAAACTATTGATATGGTGTGGGTCACAGTGGGCTCACTCTGGGCACATTTCCTCAGGTAATGCATAGTACACACTAAACCTTTGGAGATCTATGTTGAGAATGGTTCTAAGACAATGTGCATACTCAAAAAAAAAAAAAAAAAAGGCAGCTAGAGGGTTTCCATTCCTGTTTTATATGCTTTAAAGCTTGACTCTTGTCAGTGCTCTAACATCCAAATGGTTAACCAGATTGCTTCCAAATTTGGTGTGCCTCATGCAGTCAGGGGGCAGCATTAGTGATCCAAAATTTGGGGCTATTTGCCCAAAGTATTCCAAGTTATAGGCCCCTACCAAAAATCAGTTCCCTTCTGCTGCCTTGTACTGTTAAACTGAGAGGTACAAATGACTATATCAGTGGTTCTCAGCCTATTTACCATTATGGGCCACATATGCAGCTCTCAAGCATTATGTGGGCCATATCCACACTATATATATTATACCTTTATGGCCTTGAGGATATCATATGGGCTGCAAGCAGTCCATGGGTTGAGAACCATTGGATTAGATGAATCACAGAGCTCACTGAGAATGTTGGTTATGAACTCGCCCTTCAATTAACAGAACTAAGGATAAGTTTCTCACAAGCCCCCACCTAAGACAAAAGGAGTTTTGCATAAAGTGGCTAAAAGATACTAGCATTTGTGAGTCTTGGGGGGCAGTTTTATTTTGAGGGGAATGTAATCAAAGTATTTGGGGAAGAAAAATTAGACACATGAATGCTTCCCCAAAGGGGAGGAATATTAGGGGGTAGAACAGTAGCAGAATAAGGGGAGAGAGGAGGGAGTTATGGGGAGGGGAATCAATGGGAATGGATTGTAGGGAAAAGATCATAAGAACGGCCATACTGAGTCAGACCAAAAGTCCATCTAGCCCAGTATCCTGTCTTCTGACAGTGGCCAATGCCAGGTACCCCAGAGGGAATGAACAGAACAGATAACCATCAAGTGATCCATTCTCTGTTGCTCATTCCCAGCTTCTGACAGAGGCTAGGGACACCATCCCTGCCCATCCTGGCTAATAACTATTGATGGACCTATCCTCCATGAATTCATCTAGTTCTTTTTTGACCCCTGTTATAATCTTGACCTTCAAAACATCCCCGGGCAAAGAGTTCCACAGCTTGACTGTGTATTGTGCGAAGAAATACTTCCTTTTGTTTGTTTTAAACCTGCTGCCAATTAATTTCATTTGGTGACCCCTAGTTCTTGTGTTATGAGAGGGCATAAACAACACTTCCTTATTCAGTTTCTTCACACCAGTCACGATTTTATAGGCCTCAATCATATCCCCACTTAGTCGTCTCTTTTCCAAGCTGAAAAATCCCAGTTTTATTAATCTCTCCTCATACAGAAACCATTTCATACCCCTAATCAT